CCACGTGGCTGCAAACCTGTTCCCCAGAAGCCTGAACCCCAAGGTAGAGCTGAGAGAGGCCAGCTAGAGAACAAGTGTCTTTTGTGTGCATGAGTCAGAAGCTAGGACCACCCCCCAGTGCAGCCCCCAGTTGAGGCAGCCACACTCTGTCCACCCGGGAGGTTCGCCTCTGTCTTAATGACCATCTCTACTAGGCAACGGTTTTTGTTGATCCCTGGAGATAGGAAGGAAACAGAATAAGCTTTTCTCTTTCTTTTTTCCCCCTTGGTTGCAGAAAAGAAAAGTTGAAACAAACAAGTTATATAACACTGGGGGCGGTGGGGGGAGTACAATCCCTCCTGAGGACTTCTAGAGTTGTGGGACTGCTGGTAGGGCCAAGGGAAGACAGGAACCACCCCCACCCCTGGCCAAGTGACAGAACACTTCATGGGACAAAAAGGCAGACACAGGCGCTGCATGGCAGGCTGGAAAACCAGCCACACAAACAGGTTGGCCTCCCGCGGCCCTCAACAGTACCACAAGTCTCCCCAAGAAGGCAAGGACCCAACACAGTACAGTTCAAGGGACTTCCTACTTAGCAAACAGCAAACCGTAGAGAGAGTATTTGCACCCTTCTCTCGCCCCTTCCAATATTTCTAGAACACTCACCACCTCAGACCTGCCCATGATCCAGGCATCCAGACAGAAATGTGCTCCACCCTCAAGGCATGTCCACAAAGAAACACACCTGATAAGGTTGGGCATGATAGCGCAATCAATGACACACAACAGCCACACAACCCAGCAATTACACCCCAAGGAACTGAACAAAGATGTGCAAAGACTTGTACATGAGTGTTCAGAGCAGCACTGTTCACAATCACCAAACGGTGGAATAAGCCTAACTGTCCATCAGCTGGTGAACAGAAAGACAGAATGTGGCCTGTTCACTTAAGGAATATCAGTCAAAAAAGGTATGAAATTCCTATATGCACTACAACATGGATGAACATCAAAAATATACAGAGTGAAAGAAGGCTAACACAAAAGGTCACACAGCGTATGATTCTATTTACAAAACAGGTAAGCTTATGAAAACAAAGACAAATGGTTCCTAGGGGCAGAAGGGAGGGCAAGTGGTAAGTGACTGCTAATTGGGATAGGATCCTCATTTGGGGTGATAAAAACATTCTGGAGCTAAACAGAGGTGGTAGCTGCACATCTCTGTGAAATGTTCTAAATGCCACTGAATTGTACACATTTAACAGGTGAATTTTATGTTGTATGAATTTTACCTCAAAAGACAATCAATGGGGCCTCTCTTGGTGGCGCAAGGGGTTAAATTGCAGCACTATGAAGCTATCCGTAGCTACTGCAGCATGAGTTCAGTACCCGGCCAGGGAACCACCCACACATGGCGCAGCAGACCTGTCTCGCCTGCTGCTCCCCTCAGCAGTATATTTCAGTCAGTCCTCTTGTTCTGCTTCCCACTCTGTCTCTGGTGAATCCTCTCACTGCCCCCTCCCTCCCCCCACCACACACACCTCTGGCCTACACCCCTGCTCTTGTATGCATAAATAAATAATCTTAAAAAAAAATTTTTTTTTAATGACAATCAATGAGGTGATCAGAAAAAGTAGTCTGAGGGTTAGCTGAGTGGTCAGGCAGGCAACTCTAGAAGGTCATGATTTCAGATGGTGGCAGGATGAAGAAGAATGAAGCGCAGGCAGGTTGTATGCCAGGCCTGGCTGGTGATTGGATAAATGAAGAATGACAGTAAACAAAGACAGTTAAAAAGTTTTCTCCACCTCAAGAGGATCCTTGCAGGAGTTTATCTGCCACAAACTCCCTCCAAAACTTGATTCTCTTTCTGTGTGCTCTGTCCTATGATATTAGGGAATCCCACCGTCTCCCCACACAGCTAGAATACCAAAAGCATAATCCATTAAAAAAAAAGACAAATTGGACCACATCATCATAATAAACTTTTGCCTATGAAAGATAGCATTAAGGAAATAAAAAGACAAGGGCCTCCCCGGTGGCACAGCGGGTTGAGCGCAGCGCTGTGAAGCTGTCCACAGCCTCTGCAGTGCACGTTTGATTCCCGGCCAGCCAGGGAGAGTCCCACATGGCGTGGCAGAACTCTCCCGTTGCACCCGCTGCTCCCCTCAGCAGTGTATTTCGGTCATCTGCCTGTTCTGCTCCCCACTCTGTCTCTGGTGAATCATCTCACCCTTCTGTGCCTCTGGCCTGTACCCCAGGTCTTGTATAAAAATAAATAAATCTTTAAAAAAAAAAAAAAAAGGACAAGCAAGCAATAACTGGGAGAAATTATTTGTAAATCATATATCTGACAAAGGATTTGTGCCCAGAATATATACAGGACTCTTAAAACTCAATAATGAGAAGATAACCTAGGTTAAAAATGGGCAAAAAACAGAAAAAGGAAAAATACAAAAAAAAAAAATGGGCAAGATCTCAAGAAATTTTATCAAAGAAGTGAGCACACAATAAGCCAATGAGAAAAAATGTCCACTACAATTAGTTATGAGGGAAACGTAAATTAAAATATGGATAAGATACCAACATACACTTAAAATAGCTAAAACGGAAGACTGGCCATATCAAGCGTTAGCATGGTCAGGAGCTTCTATAATTCCCTTATCTTGCTGATAGGAATGAAAAAGGTGCAATCACTTTGGAAAACAATTTGGCAGGTTCTTAAAAAATTAAACCCCTGCTACTAAAGGACCTAGTCATTCCACTCCTACATAGTCATGAGTCACCTAAATAGGACACATTCTGAGAAATGCATCCTTGGGTGATTTCATTGTGCGAACATCAGAGTGCATAATTACACAAACCCAGTTGGTACAGCTTACTACATCCTAAGCTATATTGGAATTATAAGTGGTCCCTTGTTGACTGAAACATCTTTATGCAGTGCGTAACTGTGTTTATCCAAGATGATGAAAGTGTATACCCACAGGAAGACATGTATCCAGATGTTCACTGCAATTTTATTTGTAAAAGTCAAAAAGGAAATAACTCAAGTATCTATTCACCAGTAAGTGGATAAACAAACTGCATCCATACAAGAGAATACTACTATATGGTAAAAAAGAAAAAAGTCTGATACTCATGACAACATGAATATTCTAAGGGAAAAATGCCAGATATAAGAAGCCACATATTGTATGATTCCATTCATATAAAATTCCTAGAAAAGGCAAAACTATAGACAGGGTGACAAAAGATCAGGGTGTGCCTGGGAGTGGATACCGGGCAACTGCAAAAGGGATTAAGGGAGCTTTAGGGGGGTGACAGAAGCATGCTAAAAAACTGGGTTGTTGAAATAGGTGCAAACCCTAAAAATTTATCAAAATTCAATGAACCGCTCAGCTAAAATGAAAGCATTATATGGTATATTAATCATACCTCGTCCTTGCCCCAGCTTCCCCCAAAACAGGGCCCAAGGCAGGGATCTAAGGTTTGCTGTCCCTTCCTGTCTTTCATTTATGTGCCACCTCATGCCCTGTCAAGAAGCCCTACCCACTCTACTCCCTGAATGTCTTTGCAAATCCTCTAATCCTTCCTTGTTCCCCACTGCAGGCATCCAAAGCCCAACTCAGGCACCCAGGTCATTAGTCCTTCCCGCTGGCATCAGCCCAGGTCCCCGAAAGAGCACACAAGTACTGACTAACTTTATCAACTACTACATTGAAATTATCTGTGAAAGTAGCTCACCACCCAGGAAGAGCCTAAATTTCCTCCTTGGCAGGCAGGAGATAGTGGGGTTGTCCTGAGGGCTGGGATAAAAGTCTGCCCCATGCTGGCCTTGGGCAATGAAAATGGGAGACGGGCCTCCCGGTGGCGCAAGGGGTTAAGTCTCAGCACTATCAAGCTATCACCAGTCACTGCAGCATGAGTTCAATCCCCGGGCAGGGAGCTACCCACATGGCGCAGCAGACCTCTTCTGACTCACCCGCTGCTCCCCTCAGCAGTGTATTTTGGTCAATCTGCCTGTTCTGTTCCTCACTCTGTCTCTGGTGAGTTCTCTCACACCCCACACCTCTGGCCTATACCCCAGCCCTTGTATGCATAAATAAATAAATCTTTTTTAAAAACATATAATCCTTACTCTGGGGTTTAAATAACCAGTCTCAGGACTTGGCCAAAAGGAAAAGAGACTCCCTCTGATAAAAGAGGTTGAATTCTGCCACTTGGTCTGAGAGAAAACCTTTCTTGGAGTCTTTTAGCCTGAGAGAAGGGATTCAAACCCCACGGTGATGAGAGGGAAGAACCCTAAGGATGAGTCCTCCCAGTGTTTTCTTTAGAACATCAAAGAATTCTCACCATCCTCAGCCTCCCAAGACCCCCCATCTGAGGACCACCCCCCAGCTCCTCATGTTCCTCCCTGCCAGGGCCCCTGAGTTCCCCTCTCTCAAGTTCTCCGAGGCCCATTAGACCTCTTTCAGACACTCAGGGTCATCTGAGTCCTCTATCCCCAGCTTCCCACAGTCTTCATCTTAAGTCCCCTCAGCACACCTTCAGGACCACCTTTAGTCACCTCATGGTCCTTTCAGAATCCCCCAGGAAGTCTTGGGACTCAGCCCAACCAATCTCCCCCTCAGTACCCTCCTCAGAGACCCCAAGACAGCCTCAACAGACGACAGACTATCCATACCCCCTCTTTTGGCGTTCTCGCCCTCCCAAGCCACTTGGTACCTCCAGTTACCCTATGGTCCCATCATATTCAGAAGCCCCTGGGTTTCCCTTCAGACCTTCATGTTCCTTCAAGCCCCTCAGGCCGCAAGAACGACGAGTCCTGGTCCTGGAGGCCTCATCCCACTTACAGTCGCCTCCTCAATAGCTTTCGGTCCCCCAGTGCTCCATGGTTTGCGGTAAAGAACCTGTGGCTGGCCCAAGAGTCTCCCCAGTGCTTCGGGACCCCCAGGAGCCCCTGCAGGTCACCCCCACACAGGAGCAGGTGCAGGCCCACCCTGCCGACCGGGTCTCACCTGCTTGGGCGCTCGGGGCCCGGGCCCGCACCAAAGCCACCGCCACCAGCGGCACTGCCACCACCGGACTCCGCCATCTTTCCGCCGCGCCGCGCGTTGGAGTGACGGAGCCGCACGCGACCCGCCCCGGAGACGCAGAAGCGGGGATACGGGGCGGGGCCTACGACGAGTGGGCGGGGCGTGGGTGAGAGGTGGGGCCGGGCCTGAGGAGGAGGTGGAGCGGAGCCAGGCAGAGCAGGGTCCTGTTCTGTTGAGGGGAGAGAAGGGGCGGGGTCAGGACTGAGGCAGGGCAGGGTCTGAGGAGGGCCGAGACCGACCTATTTTGAGGGAAGAAGATAGGTGAGGCCTGGGGCAAGGGGCGGGGACATGCCTGAGGGAGGGCGGGACCTGAGGACGGGCGGGAGGGATAAGCCCGAGACCTATTTGGAAAAGGAGAGAGGGGGCGGGGGCATAACTGGGCATGGGCGGGGCCTTGAGCGGGGCGGGGCCTGGAGGCTTAGGTCTTCTGAGGGGAAGGAGGGTTAGGGTCAGGCCTGAGGAAGGGCGGGATCTGAGATGGAAAGGGGTCTGAGGAGAGACAGGGCAGGTATAAGGTTGTGGATTGACGTGACAAGAACATCGAGCAGGGCAGTGTTTGTAGAGGTGTCGGCCTAGATACAGGGAGAGACTTACCTGGGGAGGGGTGTGGCCTTGCATTGTGAATGGGGCAAAGGCGATGGGCACGTGGCTGGTGTCAAGGACTGGGTGGAGGGTGGACCGGGGAAGGACTGGGTTGAGTGTAACTGGGGGGCTAGAATTAGGGGCAAGCCGGGTTGTGAGGTAAGTTCTGGAAAGAAGGGAGGAGGTCAAAATGGTAGGAGGGGTGTGGAGAAACTCGTCCAAGAGCTCCGACAACCTCCCTTCCCCTTCTCATGGTAACCTCCCTGCTAAGATCGCCTTCAGAGTAGGGAAATCATCCTGCTGCCTTCCCAGCCTCAGATTTCCAGTCCTTCTCTAAATACCCTCCCCCAAGCCTCCACCCTCAGACCCAAAAACCTCCCTACCCTCCGACCCCAATCATTTGCCCTCAAGATTCCCAAACCTCCTCTTTCCCCACCAATTCTAGTTCTCACACTCAGAATCCCTGCCCTCATAGTATCTCCTTTACCCTCTATTCAAACCCCAACTCCCACTCTCCCTAATCCTTGCCATAGACCCTTCAAATCCTCACACCCCCCAAAACATTCCACCAGACCCAACCCCCTTGAATGTGCAACCTCCAGCCACACCAAATATTCAACCAGGACTCTACATCTGAGTCCTTACTTTTTAATCTGTGTTCATGCTTTTCTTGCTTACATCCTTTCTTTCCTCTCTTTTTTCCTTCTTCCCTACTCTGGATCCCATGGAGTCCAGGGCCCATGAAGCATCTGCAAAGTTCCCAGAGTCTTCAAGGGGACCTCCCTACCCCTCATCCCACTGAAATTCTAGAATCTCTTACCTGGAAGGATCTGAATCCTCAGGATCCTCTCACCAGTCTGAACCCATTTATTTTCTCATCCACTGAATAGGAAAGAGCTCCCTTGAAATTGGCTCAGGGATCTAGATAGGGCTCAGAGCCCTCCCTTAAGTCAGTGTTGAATAAAAGGGAAGGAAGTAGGACTGGAGACCCCAGAAGAGAGAGCTGAGGGCCTGCCTCAGCAGTGGGCATCTGCAGGTAGAACCAATTCAACTGATCCATCTCCATCACAGGACTGGGTACACAATGGTACTATCTTTCAATAAATGCTCAGGAGTAACATTATGCAAGCTGGCAGATATCGGGAGCTGAGAGGCCATGCTGACCTCTTCAGCACACAATAAATGCTCAATAAATGTTGAATGCGTGTGTGTGCATGAGTAATTCAAGTTCTGGCAGCTCTGTACACACAACCTCACCCACCCATGCTCAGCCCCACCACTCAGGTCTTTGTTCCATATGAACCATATGGAGGCATCCAAATCCGTTCATTCGGCAAAGACCTACAGCCCACACACCCGCCACACATATGGCTGCAGTCAATGGCATCCATATGCACACACACTTCATAAACACTCAGATTCGACCCACATGTCAAACACACAGACTCACAGCCAAAGATAAGCAAAAAGAGGTTTGCTGGGCCTCTGGACATGTGCACATTGCACACACATGGTGATATGGACACACTGAGTTTTCCAAGATCATGTGGCCCAGGACAGTCAGTGCAAAGGTCCTAAGGCAGGAACATGCCTAGCAGGGAAAAGTGAGGGGGATGAAGAGGGGAGGAAAATATGGGGTGGGAGATAGTGAAAGGCATCTATCTGCACATGGATGGCCTCTGGACCACTGTGGAGATGTCGCCTCTTCACAAAATGAAGAAAGGAATCTTGTGAATAGAAGGGATGTAACCAGCCAAGGGCAATAGCCTCAATTTGGGACATCACTTAGGAGGCACAAATTTTTCAGGCCAAATGATTGGGTTCACCCAGGGTGATGGCTGAGGAGGTGAGACATGGCCTAGTCAGGATGCTGGTGAAATCAGCAGGAGACAAGACAAGTGCCCTGCAGTGTGAGGCAGAAAAAGACCAGCGACTTCTTTGGGGTTCTTGGCCCAAGTCTGAATGGCTACTATACCTGACTGGATGGGGTAGGTGGGAGCGTGGACAGTCCATAAAAATTGTTGCCCTCCCTCATCCAGTACTGATGACCTGTGGTTTGGCAGAGCCCACAGGATGGGCCCCCGAGTCCATAGGCCTGGCTGCCATCTGGCCCACAGCTGCTATTGTTCTCCAAAGGCAGGGATGTTGCCACCTGCTCCCCACACCAAACCATCTGTGGGACTCACACCCAGGTTGGAGCAGAGGTCTCCTCACAATCCCCAGGTGTCAAGGAGCAGGGAATCAAGGCCTGTGGTCCAGGGGGCACCTTGTGTTCTTGACCTCATGCTGGGGCCGGCATCCATCATCTGCCCTTGAAGCTGTTAATGCTTCCACTGTCACCTTTGGCTTCTCTCTAAACAAGGCAGGCCAAGATCAAATAAATGCTTGCTCTCTGCTACCACCCGTAGTTTCACATCTGTTTTGTCGGAACTGTAGGACCTCGGGTGGGTAGCTCCAGCTCTACACCTCAGTTTTACCAACTTTAAAATGCCCCTGGTGGTGCAAGGGTTCAGTCTCAGTGTTATCAAGCTTTCACCAGCCACTGCAGCATGAGTTCAATCCCCGGGCAGGGAGCTGACCCACATGGTGCAGCAGACCTCTCCTGTCTTGCCTGCTATTCCCCTCAGCAGTGTATTTCAGTAGATCCGCCTGTTCTGCTCCCCACTTTGTCCTTGGAGAATCCTTTCATCCCTCTGCGCACCTCTGGCCTGGACCCCAGTGCTTGTATGCATCAATAAATAAAAATAACTCTTTAAAAAAATAAAAATGTCCCTGAGAGACAAAGCGGAGATCAGGATGACATAAGCAACACACAGCACTCAGGACAGCTCAGGGGCAGGTCCTTGCCTGAGTCATTGCCAGCTTTCAGCTTTACTGTTTCCCTTCCCCTATGCCCACTCTGCCTCCCTCATCCTGTTTCATCTTTCTCCTTATCTAACATGCCTTGTATTTTAGGAGTTTTTTTAATTGAGATATAATCCCAGTACCAGAAAATTCAACATTTTAAAGTAAACAGTTCATTGGCACTTATATCTAGTTCCAGAACATTCTATCACCCCAAAAAGAAACCCATTACCCATAAACAGTCACTCCCCGTCCCCCTTCCCCAATCCCTGACAACAATCTGCTTTCTGTCTCACGGATATGCCTACTCTGGGACTATAATATAATGGATCACACACTGTGTGGCCTTTTGTGTCCAGCTTCTCTCACTCAGCATCATGTTTTCAATGTTCATTCATATTGTAGCATATGTCAGAGTTTCTTCACTCCTTTTTATAGCTGCCTGATGCTCCACTGTATAGCTAGGCCACATTGGTTTCATGCTTCATCTGTTGATGGACATTTGAGTTATTCCTCTTTTGACTGCTGCTATTAGAACTGCTGTGGACACATACCTGTGTGTAAGTACCTGTCTGTGCCCCTGTTTCCAGTTTTTGTTTTTTTTTTTAATTCATGTACTTATGCATACAAGAACTGGGGTACAGGCCAGAAGTGTGGGGGGTGAGAGGATTCACCAAAGATAGAGTGGGGAGCAGAACAGGCAGACTGACTGAAATACACTGCTGAGGGGAGCAGCAGGCGAGACCAGAGAGGTCTGCTGCGCCATGTGGGTAGCTCCCTAGATGGCCAGGGTGGAACTCATGCTGCAGAGGCTACAGACAGCTTCACAGTGCTGTACTTAACCCCTTGCACCACCAGGGAGGCCCTGTTTCCACTACTTTGGGGCACACAGCTAGGAGTGAAATTGCTGGGTCACAGGGTATCTCTGTTTAACTTTTGGGAAAACAATCTTGCATTTCCTTTTCTTGCTTACCATCCATCCTTCTCTGGAATATCAGCTCCCCAAGGACAGGAGTCTGTTTCCTTCCTGAATGTTCTGCCGAGCCCTGGGCAGCACTTAGTATGTCACTTCATGATGGGAACATATTCAGAAAATGGGCTGTTAAGGGATCTCTTCTTCATGTGAACATAAGAGAGTGTAATTACACAAACCTAGATACCTAGGCTACATGGTACAACCTACTGGGACAAACCAATGACATTAGTAGCTGTATGTCATTGACTGAAACATCACTGAGCGGCACCTGACTGTACATGGTGCATGGATAGCTCATGTGACCCTTGAGTGGGCAATAACTCCTAGATTCTCAGAACCCCAGCCTGTGAAATGGGAATGAATCAGTTTGCTCAGTAAGAATTAGTTCCCATGGGCGGTTAATTATCACCTAGAAAAGAATCACCAATCTGTAGTCTTTCCCCCTACTCTTGCCTCCAAGCTGTTCAAGGGCTGGGATCAGAACAGCCAAGATCAAATGCAGAGAGGGTGAGGGGGTCCTGCAGTCAGTCACACAGTGAGGACACAGCAGGCTGCTGTGAATAAGAGGCAGCTCTAGGGGACCCTGACGTCAGTCAGGGCAGCCACCACTCCTTAGC